ATCCGGCCCTTGAGCGGCCAGAGCGTTTCTTTCAGCGTGCTCTCATTAGTACAATTAATATTTCGATTATTATTGTAAATATTGCTAAACGGTATGAAACTTTTGTGTTCATCTCGATCTCATCTACCTTCCTGTGAGTGATATTGGAAAAAGTCTTACGGGATACCATGTATAAGATACATAACTCGAATTAAAAATAACGTTCCCTGAGTCATTCAGTAGTCACATTATAAACAGTAAACTCAATAAACTTCAAATTGTACATTTTCTTATATCCACAATATGCAAAAAACAAGTGTTTAATATATGAGTCCAAACATGATTTAATTCTAACGCATCAGAGGCCTGTCGAAAAATTTGAATATCATTTCGAAAAGATAAGTAAAGGAAAGAATTGCTCAAATTGGGTTCCAAAATTTAGTTTAACGTGATGAGAGCCTTGAGAATGCACTCCGATCCAGAAGACCACTTTCCTTGAAAAATGAGGATTTGAAGACTATAATCAAAATGAATTTAAAACTAATCTGCGGTACACTTAATCTTAATGAGAGAACTTGCGATACACTTAATGTTAATAAAAAAACTATAAGGTATGCTTTTTAATTTTTCATATGTGGAAAACGGCAAAAACTTTTAAATTATTGACGCCTGATATTATACAGTCGTATAGACGTTTCTTTCCAAATCAAAAATTAGTTTTTTTTAAATAGTAGAAAGAATTTTTGTTAATGCACAAAAAGTTTTATTATTTGTATATTACAATATAAAAAAATTATGAAGGTTCGAATATATATATGCAAGTAATGATCATGAAAATCTAATAAATACTTTATTATATATTGTGGAAGGTAAATTACTACATTATGCCTACATTTAATTTGCATAACTATTATCGGTTCATTACAGAAATCGACAAGAACCGTAAGAACTAATATCTTTAGCAGCAAATAATAGCCATTTACATGCTAGATGACTCGCCTTTGAACTTCAATACATCGCGTGCAATACTGACACGTACGAAGCAGAGGCCTTTAAAATCTAAAAAAATTATATCGTATAACAATAATATAATAATGCAATAATACACCAACAATAATAATAATAAAATAAAAAATACATAAAAATAAATTTATAAATAAATAAACTGTTTAAACATAAATCAAAATGTTTCGATAAAAATAGACAATTAAGTTGAAAGATTGTCTTGAAATTACTTAATAATTAAAATAAATCGTAATCTTGTTCCGAATAACATCAACGATCAGTTGATCCATCAAAACGAGGATTTTATTAACAAATTTTATTAACAATTCAACGTCTTACATTCGTGAATCCCTCTAGCGACAGGTCCATCATATTTCCAGCAGTAATGGTAAGTCTTCTTTGTGACCTCAATATTATAAGCAGAACAAGCTTACTCTCCTTGGGTGTAAAATCATACCAAACTGATTTGTACGCTGCATCGCCAATCATTTTGCTCTAAAGAACAATGTTGCAAAAAGATTGTGTTGTCAGCGAGATAAATGATTAAATCAACATAAAGGCTTTTTTTATACTATAAAAGAAATAACAATTCTGATATAGTTTGATAAAGAAATCATCATATACTTCAATTATAACAATGTATTCTTGCTAAATAGATAATTAAAGCAAATTATTGTATCATTGACATTGAAAAGAAAATGTCTACTGATTTTCTTTTTCACACTGAAAAGAATAGGAAAAAGAAAATTTAACTTCTCATTTAAGTAGTTATGCGTTCTTCATGAAAAAGATGCAATTGCCATTATTTAAAATCATCGCACGACATATATTCCATTCAAAGAGAGAATGACCTCGTCTATTTTGCGCATGTCTTTATAGCGTTGTACAGTACAACGTTATGAAGACCTGCGTAAAACGAACGAGTTTTCGTCCGATCCGAGATTATTCTTTCGTTGAATGGAGATACCGAATCGCGTAAACTAACATCTCCACAAAGAGAATCAAGTGGAAAGATTTCAATTATTCCGACCTTTGCAGTGAGGTATTCTCCGCAAAAACAGAAAATAAATGCCTCCACCGCAGCAGCTATATAAAACACCACAGCTTTCATTAGTGCCGTGCCATCAATCGTATCCGAATCTTGTGTGTCGATCGACTGCAACATATTGAATTGATATCACTATCGTTGCAAAATGAATCATTTCTTCATACTCCTTACTTTGAGACAAAGAATTACTTACCGTTATGATCGTGAATCCTATGCAGCAAGTTAGCAATGTGCTCGACATAAATTGAATTAGCGCTATATAAGAAAAGATTTTTTCAATTTTATCTGAAAACGTGATGATCTTCTGATGCTTGCCAATCACTTTCTTCATACTGAAAGCTAATTGTTGATTGTTCATTTCAGAAGAGATATTCTTTAATATATCACATAAAATTTCTATCTGACCGCTCGTATGAAGAATCTGAAAACGTATTTCCATATTTTTATAAAACCGTGATAAAAATAAATAGAAAGAGATTTTATACTATCATAAGATAATTATTTAGAATAGGGGAGTCAGCTCCGATAACCTTGATCTTGACGTATGTTGTCAAGATCATAATCCTGAGTGACCTACAACAGATTTTAGCCGTCGCTCGTCATTAGTTAATAAGTTATTAACAGCCAAAATTAGTAATCATTTCCCTGCTTTACCTGAAAAATCAGATAACTCTTAGTAGGGAGAAAAGTATGGGGTGAACCGAGAGAAAGAGAGACAGAGAGAGAGAGAGAGAGAGAGAGAGAGAGAGAGAGAGAGAGATTAAGGAAATACAACTTTTCACGCAAAACGAGTTCCACCCCACCGATGCCAAGGGACGTCCGACTTTCCACACGAAGAGAGTTTTACCTCCCCTTCCAAGGAGCGTTTGATTTTCCATATGCAAGATCTATCTGAATGAAAAGTGAAGAACGCTTCTTGACAGAAGAGGAGGTAAAGTGAAACTTGTTTCGCATGGAAAGTCATGCGTCTTTTGGCAAAGGATGAGATGGAACTCGCTTTGCGTGGAAAGTCGTGAAATATATTTTAAAGCAGAAAATTTCTGTTTTATATAAAATAACTGAGACATTATTTTTTAAATTTTATTTGATAATAACTTTATAATAAATAACGAGTGACGACTAACACTTGTTGGAGGTCATTTAGGGTCATGTCATTGACAACATATGTCAAGGTCAAAATTATCGGAGCTGACTCTCTATTTTAAATAATTACCCCTACATACAATGGAAAAAATATTAAAAACAGGAATAAATATTAAATATTAAAGAAGTAAGAACATATTAGGAATAAAAGTTACATTACGCACAGTAGATGTAAGTAAGATATAAAACATAATATACGAGTAGGATATAATACTACAGATATATAATGTCTTATATATCTGACATAACATGTTTTATATCTTATTTGTATCCATTGTATGTTTGTATCATATGTATATTTAATCTCTATTTCTAATTTTTTTAATTTTTCTAATATTTAATATATTTATTTCTGCTCTAATACTTCTTTTATTGTTCGTAAATCTGTACAGTAATAATAAATTACTCACTTTGCATTCAGTAAGAGTCTGATGTACGCTTTATAGTGCTGTTCAATTAAAATTAAAAAACTATACAACACAAAACTATATAATACAAATACCGTTTAAAATAAATATAAATACATATTTTTGATGTTTTGATAGAAGAGAAAGTGTGAATGTTAACGAGTAATTTCGAACGATAAAGATTTTGATTTAAAATTATATTAATAGTATATGAATGTTAATAATGCAATTTAAAGTCAAATAATAATTAGAGCATTTTTTTAAATAAAGTCGTTTATAATTGGTAAATAATCATCAATTTTATTTAACATTTTTCTTAAATGTTTGCAGTTTCTCTACTTTTGTCTATACGTATATAATCTGTTAGCACAATATTAATAGATAAAAGTATAATGTTACATGAAAAAAACACAAATTGAGCAATATCTCCTAAGTATAAATCTAAGGATATCGAAAAAGAATTTTTCTATCATATATTGCACTCACTAATGTGATGAGCAGACTGTTAAGTACGCCGGTCGTAGTGGAAGCTGCCAATTGATGAAAGAACTCCAAACCTGTAACAAGCTCGTACAGCGGCGATTCGTTGCACTGCGACGGAAGTTGTAGCTTCAATGTGAACACGCGAACAAGCGTCTCATCATCATCGTAATCGTCGGTATAGGATGCAAGCACCTCAATGCCGAAGCAAACAAACGATGCAGCATGGAGCGTGACAATAATATTAGAAATGCGTCGTGATAGATTTGCCTTGCTCATCATGATGTTCATTTCGCTGCTGGTGGCTTCCCTCCAGTCTGTAGCCATCGCAGCTAGGACGTCGTAAAATATACTGCGGCAGTTTATTTTATCCAGGTATATGGATAAACAATTAACATTAAGTGGCAATACAATAAAATGGAAAAGGATGGGTTCTAAAAAAAAAACAAGTCTAATCTTCCGTATATACGTTTGATGATAAATGAAGTGATATATAAAATACAACGAAAAATGTAGTGGTAAACTTAGCTTCAGCTACATATTATATAAATATTATTGCAGTTAGATGGTGATGATTGTATTGTCTAAAATATCTAAATTAACTATCTAAATATATCTAAATTAAAACAGTAGTATTTGAGTCTAGATTAAATATATCATCTTTTCTATATATTTCAAATCAATTGCAAGTTTTATTGAAAAATAAATAGAGGAAAATAATTTGTTCTCTTTATTTAAGAGAAAAAAGATATTGCGATGAACATCATGACTTTTAAAAGCGATCTGGATAAACTTGATTTCCATTTTTGACTGCGTTAAAAATATTTTCTTACCGACTATTGAACCATAAAATAATCAGTTTCAGGGACATCACGCTGTACTCTATGGTGACACTTAAACCATCCATCAAGTGCGACATATCATCAGTTCTAAAGTGAATAACGATCCACCAATATTGGAGAGTCTGCACTATGCCGATGGTCAATATCCAAAGACACCGAAACAACAGGGCGCACGGTGTATTAGGCCAAAATCCAATTCCTCGAAGACCGATTTGCACCACGAGAGCAACAGTGCTTGTAGTCGTCATGCTACCGCGTCGTAATATCTTATAATTTTATAGTAAAATATAATAATATTGATATTCCAATTTATATTTAGTGTTACATAAGATTTGGCCAAAAATTCTACATCTGCGATATCTGAAATGTAACTTAGATACTTATCGAAATTGTTAACGTTTTAAAGCCACAAATCACACTAGCAACAGTAAAACGACTCTAGAGCGGCAACTTGAGGGACTTGCTCACGCAAGGTTCATTGGCTAAATGTAGCCGTAGCAAGGTAATCACCGATCAATTGCAATCAATTGAAAACAAAAATTACAGTAGTTTACATGAAACAAAAATTGCAGCAATTTAACTATAATTACACTGCACGATTGCAATTTATTTAATGGTTAATCTTACTTTTCCATAAAAAATGTCGCCGATGAGATAAATTAGTTACTTGAAAAATGCAAAAGACAGCGTTTCTTCTTACATGCACGGGAGTGTGCGCAGTTCTAGAATAATAGCTCTTTCAAGAAAAGTATTAAGGGGATCCTAAAGCCGTTTGTATTACCGACTAAGCCATATAATTTTCATATAACAATTATTTTTTTTCTCTTTTACAGATTTGAAAATCCTTTTCCAGGAAAAAAAGTATACGCATTAATACGTATTTGTGAGATGGAGTTTATGCCAAGAATTTTAAATAGTTTCAAAATTGAGATCTTCTTTAACATTTCTTAGTCCATTATGACGCTCCAGAGCTGTCACATCGTGACATTTGCTTCGTATAAAAGCTGTGCAATCTGTATTTACGAAATAGTAGTCCATAGACTAGTAGTTTCCACGAAAAACCAACATGGAATTCTTAGAATTAGACTTAGGTCCGGTTGCATCAACATTACTTTGACTTTAAACAAAACTTAAAACTCTCTCTGTCTTGTTTTAAAGCGCAAAAAAACAGAATCAGTGAGAGTTTTAAGTCTCACTTAAAATCAAAGTAACGTTGGTGCAATTGGGCCTTAGACGTTTATTTAAAAGGCTAATGTTATGCGAAAATTTATGCGTATATGTTGCATGAATGAAATATTGATATAGTAATATATAGTGATATATAAAATATATCATATATAAAATATTAATATAGTAATATATAGTGATGTGTCAATGATATTTAATCGTTTATATGTAAGTCCTTACACTATAACTAGTTGTCTTTAGAATTCCCTTAAATGTATTAAAAGATATAAAATGAATATCGAGACAAATATAAGCAATAATGTAACAGTCAATATGTTGTACAATCGTATCTCTTCGCACATACAAAAGATAATTTTCTTAACAAAGTTATTAAATGTTATTAAATAGAAAAAGATATAATAGAGTACAAAAAATTCATACTCGATTTAAAAAAAATCATTTAACTGTCCAGAATACAAAATTATTACATCTTTACTTTAATCGACCAAACAAGTTTCATCATTTTCTATTCATTCTAGTATACAAAGTGCACAATTTTTTATCAAAAACTTAAAAAAAAGATTTTTAAGGTCTCGAGTAGAAAATTCTTTTCATTTGAAGTGTTTTGTAATGATATCTATTCAAGTGATAATCTGATGGATATCAGAGCATATCAGAAAAATATCAGGGGGAGGGGAGGGGAAATACAATAAAAAATCCTAATTCAGCTTTCAGAGCTAGATTTGCGCAAAAGTTTGATAAAGTTGTGAAGTCTGCGTCATTGTAATGAAAAACAATACTCTTTCAATTGGCCAGTATCATATACTTTCATAGATTATTTCCTTCCAATTATCTAACTTAGTAAATTAATAGTTAGTAAATTAATTGTATCTCCAAAAAATCCTGTTCAAAAAGGATTACTTCCTAATAATTTCACTATATCAAAAACATCACCTTTTAAGAGTATAAAATTAGATTTTTTTCTACATATAATAATATTAACTAAAATATGATAAAAGTTTAATATTCTGTATCCACGACGAGTGTTATTAAATTATTACAATTAGTTTATTATTAGTTTATTTTTAAAAAGAAATAAATGTTACTTTGACTTTGTCATAGTATGTATACACAGTCCAAAGTATATGCAGTTTTCTTTATATTAATACATTGCGTATAAAACAGATACGTACGACGCGGAAGCTTTTAAACTCTGAAAAATTAAATAGTACGCAATTAATAAATTTACTGTTCAAATTAATTGATAAAACAAAACATTATCATCATTATCATTACAAAAATAATGAAATGAATAATAAAATGTAAATTATATTTATACATATCTTAAATTATATTTATACATATCTTCAATAATTAACATACATATAATATAAAATAAGTGAGATACTCGAAATTGCTTTTATTTTTGATATATTGTTAACTGTATACGTATCTTCAAATTATTGTCATATTTAAAATAATATTTAACTGTTCTCATATTGTATACATATTTGCATATGCACATTTAGAAAAAGAAAAGATATCTAATTTTGACTTGAAATAATAATGCGTTATAAAATACATAGAAGATGTCAAAGATATCAAACATGAAAAATGGAACATTTTTTTAGCACTTCCCACATTAAAGACAATAATATTAAATGTATATTGCAGTATACAGTTATAAAATTAATTATCCGAATGTGAGCCATTATATCTATGATATTTCCAACTATTGTCCAGATGTTAAAAATTGTGAATTCACGCACGCATTAATAGCATTGATAGCCTATATGTATATATTTGGTCAACTAATTGTAAATTGATTGTGTGTGTGTGTGTGTGTGTATGTGTGTGCGCGCGCGCGCGCGCGTGTGTGTGTGTGTGTGTGTGTGTGTGTGTAATGAGTGCTAGAACTACAATTTTTTATTTGCCCAAAAAACAATTAAGGAAATCATCAATATAATGACGTATTATCTGAATAATTATTTCATTTCATGACTATAGATGTCTATATTGCAATATACTCGTAAGTATTGTATATTAATTTATATTATTAACTTAGGTAGCTATAAAAAGTTCATAATTTCAATGAAATCTTACATTTGTGAATCCTTCCAATGATAAATCCATAAACTTCCCCGCAGTAATTGTCAGACATTTTTGCGATCTCATTATAACAAGTAGTAAAATGCGGCAATCCCGAGGCTTGAGAGTATACCAAACAGATTCATATACGGCATCGCCGATCGTTCTGCTCTAAAATGAGAGACAGGTACATGTGAATGACATATCCTCAGCACGTATGTTATACTATATTATCAGATAAGCAATCTCTTTATACAAGTCCAATCTTTTTATCAACAATGTAGTAGTAATTTTTTAAACAATTTTATATATGGGAAAAGGAAAAACTGACTAATGATTTCGTATACTCACCTTATTACTCAGATATATACCGGCGAAACAGAAGATAAATGCTTCCAAAGTGATAGCGATGTAAAAAAACAAGGTCTTCACTAACATCCTGACTCCTTCATCTGTGCCCATCGACTGCAAGTCAAGAAAACGGTCAGATGGTGCGCTATAAGCAGACTTCTTAAACATACGGAAAACAAGCGGATATCTCCCATCATTGTGCAACTCGTCAGTTTTGAGTGAAGATAAAGGAGTTTGAGGATATCCGGTCAGTCTTATAACATTTCTATAAATGAATAAATGACTCGAAGTCATGCTAGTACACTGAGAGAAAAATGTTTGGTATTTGTAACTATAATTACATATTACTATAATTATGATTATTATATACTGCTATAATAATAATAACTGTAACTATGTATATACAATAGTTGGTAACCTAAAATGACTATAATTATAGTTATTATAACCATAAAATAGTTGAAATTACCATAAAAATAATTCAAGTAATTATAATTTTGTACTTATATTTTGGAACAACCATAAAAAATATGGTTGTCTCAATCTATAATTATAAAATTTTAGTCACTTGAATCATTTTTATGGTAATTTCAACTATTTTATGGTTATAATAACTATAACTATAGTCATTTTAAGTTGCCAACTATATGCATTTGTTGCTAGAACTATATACATAGTTATTATAGCAGTAATAATCATAATTATAGTAATATATAATTATATTATAGTTACAAATATAAACACATTTCTCTCTTACAAATACAAAAATTTTTCTCTCAGTGTACGTTCACATAGAAATCTTTTAACTTGCTCTCTGCTTGCAGCTAGATAGTAAATTCATGTTTATCGTGTGGTCTGCGCGAACATGTGAATCTAAAACCACTACCATTTCGAATACCACAAAGTATTCGAAATAAAAATGTGTATAAATAAATACTAAAAATAAGAGTATAAAAATAAATATCATCATTTCTTTCCGATTAGGTAAATAAAAGTTCACGTTCAATATGTGTGCCTGTGCAGATAAATGCATTGATCTTTATAGAGTGTCTAGTAAAGACCGTAACAACGTTTAAGAGTAGATTCCTGAGTTTCTTTTAAGATAAAGATCCTAATACTAAAAGTTGAGACTATAATAGAGACTATATAATTTTTTAATTATAAACATTGAAATTAGCGAATCATGTCACCTAAAAATCGCGCGTTTAAGTATGGATGACATTTTGCATTTTACCGTACTGATATGATGATCATACCGTACATATGTTAAATGCGCGAACTTTAGACGGTATATTCGCTGACTTTATGCTTATAATTCATAAACTATTACAGCTACAACATTTTAGTACAGGGATTTACATCTCAAAATAATCTTAGGAATATACCCTTAAGCATTGTTACGGTATTAATGAGACACTTTGTATAATATATCTCCGTGAATCATAACTTTTATAAAGCGGTGCATTAGAAAATTTTCAAATACGATACGTAAAGAACAAAAATTCAAACAAAAATTCAATTATAAATATCAGTTACTCACAGTTACTATAAGGAATCCGATGCAACATATGATCAAGGTATTCGAAAAAAATTGCATTAGTGCAATGTGAGAAAAAAGACTCTCAATATTCTCCGAGAAAGCGATAATTTTATGATGTTTATTAATTAAAGATTTCAATATGGTAGTGGGTAAATTATATTTATTATTCTTAGGGCAAATCTCTTCCACTTCCTGTTGCATAAGATCTATCTGTCCACCAATGTGTAGCATCTATTATATATGTATTAATTATTTTATTATATGACTACTAAACAAAAGTACTCGCTTAAACAACAAATATTGCATAAATTATATAATTTTTATTATAATTTAAATAATAACTAATTTTATAACGTATACATTTATTGATCATCAAATTAGAAAAAAATTCTAAATTTGCTGCTAAAATTTTAAATCTTAAATTGTTTTGCTTAAAAACAATATTATCTTAAAATTATTTATAGATTGAATAATTTATAATTTCATCTTTCATCTAGATAAATTTAAAATTAAATCATCTTTATTTTATCTAGAATATGTACTATTACATGTAAATTATCTTATCTAAATGATTTTGAGCTGTACTAAGAGAAACACTGCTTAACAATTTGTTTCACAAGTAGCCGCGAAAAATACACACGTTTGTATATGTACGCGATTTATAATAAAAAGAAAACAGATGACCAAGTTGGCCGTTTCAAATTTCTTTTAGCTACTATAACATCTTTAAAATAAATGGAAACGTCAACTGACCCGCAGTAAGACATTAGAATGAAACAAAGCGTAGTTGCAAGGTCTTGTTCACCTCACTATTATATACGAACAGAAACGTGAAACAACTGGAAGCAAATCCCACCCCTGCGCGGAGCCCAACATAAGAGCCGATGTTCGCATGCGTGAGGATCATAGATCGAAACCGCGAACGAATTACAACGGCACCGATGGATTTATGTAAAAGAGGGGATAAGATTGAGATCTGTGGCCATCGATTGCTATTATGGATCGAGAATTTGTCGATTCGGAACGTCTCACGCATGCTACCACTTACGCTTGCGTTTTGTATCGTATCGCATGCGCTTTAACGTCTCTCCTATGTTTCTCTCTCGCGTACAATTTACTTTTCCTCTAGTATTTTCCTTAAATTCTTGCATCGTGCATTTATTACGCTTTAAATAACGAATAGAATATTGTTTTTATTTCTTTAAAAACTTTTAATTAGTTGAATAAATTTCTCTTAATTGTTTGTTTGGTATAACTAATACTTCTGTCATTTTTTGAAGAAATTAGAACACGGTTTATTTAAGTAATTAATGTCACTTATATTTTTGATATAATCTTTTTTCATTTTTTGGAATTGTGATTCTTAAACTTCTTTTCTTCTTCACTAATATTAATCAAAAAAATACGATTTTGAACATATAGTTTCTTTGTAAATCGTCTCACACGCACGCACATGCACGCACGCACGCACGTATGTACAATTATTACACGTGCATAATATTTATTGTAATTGCTTATTATTATGATCTTCGCCTATATAATTCTCCAGAAAGAATATATTTTTATTTGATAAAGTGTTTTTATTTTACAGCGAGGATAAGAAAAATTACTTCTTATTATTATAATGAATTACTTTTAAATATTATAGAAATTAATCATGCATTATAAAGTTAAAAACGGTATGCCAGTATTCATAATCGGTCTTTATTTAAGACCATTTTAAATAATATCTTAAGATTAATATGACACTGCGATTGACTTATGACATCAAGACGGTTTTAAATCAAAATCTGTTATAAATATCGACTATAAGTATTGCAATGAATCAAAACGCAAGAAGGAAAATTATAAACGTTGTTGATTGCACTCACCAAAGTAACCATGAGTGCGTCCAGCATACCTATGGCGGAGGCAACTGCCATTAAGTGAACGAATTGCACGCATTCCACGATTTCGTAAATTGGCGAATTGCAAAATTCGAACGGCAGCTCCATTTTTATCAACAACTCTCGACAACTGCCGTTGGTCTGTTTGCGAAAGTTAATAGACGCGGTACTGTAAAGCAACACCGCTGTAGAGTAAACACCGATGGTCACTTTTGAGCAGCGATGCGCAAGAATCGCCTTGTCGATCATAGCGTATATGTTAGAATATTCACTCCAATCGTTGGACATCGCCGTCAGAATATCAATGAATAATCTGCAACGTAATTCCAACACGTTGCAACACTGATCTATATTCACGACGTAACGCAACAAATGTATACTTTCATTAGCTCGTGAAAAGAAGAAAATCATAAAGTGTGACATCTCAATTGCCGAGATAATTTTCTTGTCTCTCTTCATCAAAAAAAGAATTTTCTAACTGTCAAATAACTTTGAATTACTGCACTGTATTATCAATATAATAAAAAAGTTAAATAACATTACATTTTATAACACAAAAAAAATATCTTTTCTGCAATCCGAAATTAGACGTTATACTTAGATTGCTAGATTTTAAGAGCGATATTCATAATCCGTTCTTATTTTAGGATTGTCTTAATTTAAATAATGTCTTGAAAATGCTAATACGGACTGATTTATGACATCTTAAGACTGTACTTCAGAATTATAGTAAAACAGTCTTAAAATAAGAACGGATTATGAATACCGGCCTAAGACAACCTTATTGCTTGGCATTCGACGCATTTTACGAGCGAATCATTATTATATTTAATTTCCATAGAATCAATCTAAGAATATGACGTTTTATAAAATTAAGTTTTATATAATATATATATAGGAAACACATACCGGTTATTAACCCACAGGACAACCAGCTTGAAGAAAAGAAGATTGTACGGCAAAGTAGTGCTTAAACCATCTATCAAATTCGGCAGTTCCTTAATACTAAAGTGTATTAAAAGATAATGATACTGGAAGATCAGTCCTGTTCCCATCACCAATGTCCAAAGCAATCTGAAGAAAATCGAGGAATTTGGCCATATTCCAGTAAGACGGAGGCCGATTTCGACCGGTCGGCTGACAGTGCTAGTCGGTATCATCTCGCACAAAAATCCACGTTTTTTTATCTCTTCGTTGACAAAGCCGGACAAAACGAGCGTAAGTTCCTGACGAGACTTCCGTACGATCGCTGCACGTATTTCCCAGAGAATAAGCTTCAAGATATTAACATGAAGATTGGATGCAGCCCCACCTTAAAGGCCGCCAACCAATTGCAAACGTTAACCGTGTATTTTCGTCATGTGCTTAGGAATGCAGAAAAAAAGTTACTACGATCGAACGATGATTGCAGACCTCGACGGACAAAGAATCGACGAGAGCTATTTCATCGTTTCCCGAACGGGAAAATCGCCTGTCGCCGTTATTGCAGGTGATTTACTTTAAATATGCAAGGAAATATTATAGGGAAGAAGTTACAACGCGACAGTGTAACAGCAAAAATTTCCAGAGTGACTATTATTAATAGAAGTTTCTGAGCAACCGAACATAAGTTTTTGATCATGGTACTAAATTTTCGCGAATGATGGGTTGATATACATAAGGAAATGCAACAGGCAAAAAATAATTCAACTTTGTATATAATTTTCATTCAGATGTATACGACTTAGAGTCGGGAGTCTAAGACCGCCAATAATACTTCACTACATATAAGCTGATATGTATATATTGTTATGGATCCACATCCATTTTGGACAAGAGAATTTATATAAGTATTTTAATAGAACTCTTTGTACTATACAAATAATAAATACGGCAAGGTAAATGCTGCTTTGTGTATTTTTAAATGGCAATGATATTTATACATCCTTATAATGATATTTATATATCCTTATACGTCTTGTTCTCGAAATAAAAATTTATAAAAAGTATGAAAACGACAAGTGAGTAAAAAACATAGGAAAATAAAATATTTACGTAGCACATAATAACTTAAAATTAAATAATAGATATATTGTATATAATATGCAAACATGTATATATGTTTATGTAGACTTCGCAATTGATATCCTTTTGTTGATCAAGACATTGCAAGTAGCACCGACACGTAAGAGGCAGAAGCTTTTAAAATCTGAAATATATAGAATCGTTTTATATTAGAAAACAACAATCCACTTCCACAGAAAACAGCATGTTTATATCTTACAGATGCAAAAACTTCCAACGATAAATCATTAAATTTTCCAATTGTTAATGTCAGTCGTTTTTGTGATCTCAATATTAAAATTACTAAATTTCTACTTTCGCTGGGTTTTGCATCGTACCAAAGAGCCTCGTAAGCTGCGTTTGCGACTGATTTGCTCTGCAAAAATAAAAAAGAAAACTACCAATATATAAGATCATGCCGTCCACAAGATAAAACATTTAATCATTATAGATTGCGAAAAATACGTGCTCTCTCTGAAAATTATGTTATTATACCGAAATGTTAGTATAATAAAAATTATCTGCATAGTTAAAAATCTATTTATATGTATATTACTAATATTTACAGCAAAGTATTTGATTTAAACCTTATTGCTAAGATATTCTCCAGCAAAGCAAAAGATGAAGGCCTCCAAAGTAATAGCGATGTAAAAGAATAAAGATTTCAACAACATATCAAATCCTTTGTTACTTTCAATTGACTAAAATGTTGAAAAAAAGGTTTTATTATATGTACATATTGAATATTTATAATTTGCTTTCAAATATATTATAATAATTGGTTAATTTAACAATCTTTTATATAATCTTTTATATATATATAATGTATGTACATATATATATGCATATAGTACTTGTTTGACGCGAAATATTTAATAAACTTACTATCAAGACGATAAATGCTATGCAACATATGACAAGTGTGTTCGTAAAAAATTGCATTAACGCAATATATGAGAAAAGATTTTCGATATTATCTGAGAACGCGATGACATTTTGATGTTTGCGGATAATGGTGCTCTTCGCGTCCTTATACAATTTATATTCATAGTCTTTTGAGAAAAGTTCGAGCAACCCTTGGCACACAATATCTATCTGCCCGCTTACATGAAATATCTAAAAATTCTAGATGTAACATTATGAGGATAAACAGAACTTTTGTAGATACAAATAAAAACTAACAAATTTGAAATAATACTACCCCCAATCACAATTTATAAATTAATCTATAAATCCTGAATATATTTAAACAAAATAATTTAGATTTTCAAAATCGACTTACATATGTAAACTTATATTAATTTAGAAATCATCACATTTACATGCTATGAGTATTAATATTTGTCTTGAAAAACTAAGTCAGAAACTTACCAATGTTATAATCAGTGCATTCAGTATCCCAATTACCGAAGCGTTGCTCAATAATTGTACAAATTGAGTGAACATGACGATTTCGTAAATAGGAGAAAATTCATAAACAAAGGGGAATTCCATCTTAAGAAAGAGTTCTCCTCTGCCAGACTCACTATTAATGCTGTTAAATTCCATTATAACGGAAACATAAACCACAACGGCAATCGAGTATACTCCGATAATCAACATTGAGCAACGATGAGAAAGAGTTGCTTTATTCGTCATAATGCGTACATCGAAAGCGACGGCATCGCAGTTGCGCCAATCTCGTGACATCGATGTCAAAATGTCGTTAAATAATCTGAAAAAATTGTCATTATCGCATATCATGTAACAATGTAAATTAGTTTTTGATTGGAGATTACAAAGTAAAAAAATTGTAATTGTAATTGTAAATTTTTTTTGTACATATACAATATATAAAAACAAGATAAATAATTCTCAACTGCTTTTTCTCCGTCAATTTTCTACCATAAAAAACCCATGTTGTACATTGACAAATAATTGTTTTTAAGAAATATAAAAATTTCACTTGTATCAATATATAAATGAGTTTCTTACTTCTGATTCTGCCAGAGGATAATTAGTTTTAAACAGAGCAAGCTGTAAGGTAGCGTGGTACTGACACTGTCTATCAAATCAAGAAAGTTAGCAGTTTCGATGCAAGCAACGATGTATTTAAATTGGAATGTTTGAGCGAGACCCAAAGAGATTGTCCAAAAAGTCCGAAATAAGATGCTGCGAGATCCTGGCCAAATTCCGATAGCCCGCAACCCGAACTCAACTGAAGGACTTATGGTTGTTTTCAGATCCATTTTAACTTTCGATTATATAGCAGGACGACCCAATCTAGTGTGTTTGACAGTGAGCTTCTCTTAATGCCTCTAATAGCAGTCAAAAAGTTATCACATTGTTACTAATAGTTCAATACGACGTAGAAATCTTACCATTGCCATGCACGTTGAGTAATCCTGAAGGATTCTAGAGAGTTCATCGCCCAAGTACAAATTCAGTGATCGGTCGAAATTATTCATCGCACATATACCTAGTATCGTAAGAAAAGAAGAAAACTACGCGACACTATGATTTCAGGTTTGTCGAAGGGGAAAAATAAATCATAGGTAATAAGTTTTGTACTCTTCCATGTCGAGTGTTCCCTGCAGGGGTGCGATTGCAATATTATTTGCTTTAAAAATGCAAAAGGCACGTTTTGGATAAGCTTATGCATCATGATGCGCTACAGAGTTATAATCGAAAGTAAGCGTGGAACAAGGGAGGGAGTTGAATATCTTTGACACAACCGATGCACGAAGCATAACGTAGTGTTCTGTGTTCAGTATTCGAGAGTGAAGATTTCAAGTTGCTTTATATCTAGTGCTGTGTATGCTATGTTTTAAATAACATTTTTTTACTTTATAATAATTATTAATCAGTAAGTTTATTTTCTCAGAGAGAGAAAGAGAAGTGTTGATTAATGTAATTGCTTGCTATATGTAATATATGTTACAAATAATTTTGTTATAAATTGGCCTCTTTTTCTTCTCATTTTTTTATTAATTGAAAAATTTATGACTATTCTGAAAACAAAATGAATAGCAAAAAATGAAAAAGTTAATTGTATAAAAAAGTGCTTTTACATAGTATTTATATATAACATTTGTATATATGTATAATTTTTTTCTACTTTTATTTAAGGTAAACTCAATTTAAGGTATTTATCGCAATGATTTAATTTTTAAGAAAAAGATTCATATTTATATAAGGTTTTTATAATTTTTTGTACATTTTTAATATATAGCGTGTAACACAACATCAACACATAAAGATGAACAATTAAATCTTATGCTTTTGTGACTACGCGAAAAAAGTTAACATTAAATAAATGTTATGTAACAAGAATATGATTTATTTATTAACTGTAAAGATCTTGTTGATTAATAAAAGTTATCAATTAAGTTACGACAGCAATGCTTAAATAATAATGCTTAAGTATTATATTACACATAATCGTATCACTGTGCTATTATTAAAAAAAATTCCAAAGTTCTTACGCTTGTAAAAGCCTTCAGAGATAGGTTTATGAAGTTTCCGACTATCATTGTCTCCTTCTATCTTTTATTCCTTCTATCTTTTATTAATAAAAGCAAGCTTTTACTCTTTGTAGGCTTTAATTCAAAGCAAATTATATCCCATCAAAAGTGTTCATATTATCACAAGATATCCTGAACATATTGCAACGTCTGTAGGATATATACATTCGGGATCTTTCTGCTGTGTACGATGTGTTCCCCGATTTATAAACTTATTCTAATAGCGTTTTCAGCCCGACCGAGTTTGCACCAACCTAGGTTGAAAAATGCTTTACTATTTGATGACGTTACATGCTCTATCAATAGGAAAGCATGAAACGTCATTAGTTTGACACAGATTGGTGCAAATCCGTACCATCCAGATGTCATTTTATCCTTGTTGCTCACCGAATATTAAACAAGAACAATGAAGACCAACTAGAGCATAGTTAGTCTTCAAGATCAAAGTTATCATAACAAAATTTTACAAACCATTTCTTTACAATTATTTTCACATACCCAGGATTCACAAATCGATTTAAAGTCAATTGATTTTTAGGACCGTTTAATTTGATATCTACTAAATTTTCTATTAATCTTCGAAAGAAGATCAACATTTTATCGATGTAGCATTGATAAAGCATTGATCTTCTCGATGCAGCGTTGATAAAATGTCGATCTTCTTTGAAGATCAATAGAAAATGTAGTCAATATCAAATCAAACGATCCAAAAAAATCAATCGATATTGATTTGATTTCGACTTATAAATCAGAATATCTAATAAATTTTCTCTAAGGGCCTCAACAAAATAGCTTATAATCTTAAGATGCCTTACACCCAAAGTGTTTTGTCTTTAGTAACACACAATACTAGCTTAATTAGTCTTAAAGGTGTATACATATACGGGGTGTAACATATGTATACATATCTTTAAAACTCGAGTCGTAAGACAGTTATTGTACATTACTAATGACAAAATACTTAGGTCATAAAGATTATAAGTCAGTCATCCTGCTAAGGCCTTAACCGTGCAGGTTTTAACTAACATATTTTTTAACTCATAATTTTTATTCATTTTTAATACTTTTTCTCATAACTCAAACGCAATCAAAATGAACCTGCAATTTTACATAACAGCTAACAGTATCTTTTAAGCAGTATGTAATATGTAGACACTATATAATATATATTACGAATAGCCACCGTATAATATCGATAAAAATATCGATTGAAGTCAAACACAAATTATTTTGCATTTATCCAATAGAATGTTCTGTAAAGATTGTAGCAGCGCTTAAAAGTAGATTCTTGAGATCATTTTGAAACAAAAATTCTAATATCAAAATGTCGAGTGTTTAATAGTTTTTGAATTACAAGCACTTAAAGTTATCGAATCATCTCACTTAAAGTTCGCGCGTTCAAATGTAATACAACGGAAAATCCAATTTTAATTAAGCGCGTGAATTTAGGCGGTATGATTCGCTGATATTAGAATTATCGTCTCAAAATGATCTCGATAATCTACTGTTACGCCTGTAGACGTCACGATTCTTTTCTTTCGAAAGATTCGGTGTCGCGACTACGGTTGGCGTCTATGAGACTCGAATGGAGTCCCCTGATAATGATTTGAAAGAACTAGAGGAATCGGACAACTGATAAAACGCGAAAACTCATAAACGCCAATGAACCCGAATAACAATCCGGAAAGAATAACAACATTATGCAGGGCTGAAAAGCGGCAAAATCAAGTTTTTTTTATATTCTAAATGAATATATCCTTCCTAACTTCAATTTATTTTAGACCACTAGTATTCCGTCCCTTTTAATACCTGAGATCGTACGTGGTCCAGTCCCGGGTCAAAAGGATTAAGTTCCTTGATCCAAAAGTAGGACCGATGTTTGCACTGTCCATCGGAACAGATGTCATAGCGTCCTTTCGGGACGTTGATCTATATTCCGGGACCGTAAAGGATGCGTTCGACTCACAGGTGTTCGCTACCGTGCGTATACCTGTAAGACTGAGTCTAACTGTCCTTTCATACTCTCTCTATTTTCCCTCCTTGAGCAAATTTTCCAAGATTTGGATGTAACACTACCTTTAAGCATTGTTACGGTCTTCACAAACACCTTGTATGTAATAAAAAGATAGTAATAATATATAAACAATTGAATTATTCTTTTTAAATTGACATATAGGAAAAAATATGTAGATATATATACATATACACACATACACACACACACACACACACATATATATATATATATATATATACACATATATATGCAAGTAAAATGTTGAAAATTTAAATATTTTATTATCGATAATAAATTGGTACATCACGTATTGTCTACATTCAATTTGCATAATTATTGTCGCATCATCATAGATATCGACAAATAAGGACTGATAAAGAGTTTCTATCTTTAGCTACACGTAATGGGCATTTAAATTCATTGGCCCACAATCTTCGAACTTCAATACATCGCGTGTAATAATGATATATATGAAACAGAGGCCTTTATAATCTAGAAAAATTATATCAAATACATAATAATATAATGAAAAAATACAAGAAAATAAATTTATAAATAAATAAACTGTGTAAATATAAATCGAATATTTCTATGCAAATGTACATATCTCACAAAGAAGGGACTCAAGTGTTTCCCTTCGATTTTGATGAGATTTTAATACATTTTTTTATGAAATTATGAAAATAAAAAACACATATTTTTTTATACGTGCTTTATCATAGAATGCAACATCCTTTAAAAAAGTAGGGTTTTTTTTTTAAAACAAATATTGTAATAACTATAAAAGTTTGAAATAAAAGTTGAATGATTTTAAGAGTATTTAATAATCATAATTTAAAACAACTTTCAATTTTTTATTGTTTATAATTAAAAAATGTTTTTGTTTAAATAATATTTTTAAATTATTATTATAAAGTCTTCTTAAAACTACTCAACTTTTATTTCTAACATTTTCTTTTATCTCTTAAAGTTTCGACGATGCTCTTTAAAAAAAGAAAATTAATTTTTTTCTAAAGATATTTCACTTTTTAAAAATGCGAAAGAGTTTAAAAAATATTTGTTTCTTATATTTTACTTATATTATAAAATAACATATTAAAAGCTCATTAAAAATCGAAGGAGGACACTTGGATCCTTTCCCTATCAATTAAAAGATTATCTTATAAAATTACTTAATAATTAAAAAGTATATCACGATTTCTTTTGGAATGATGACAGTATTGTCCCATATCAAAACGAGAATTTTATTAACATAAAGTTCAGCATTGGAATCTTACACTCGTGAATCTCTCTAATGACAAGTCCATGATCTTTCCAGCCGTGATGGTAAGTCTTCTTTGTGATCTCACTATTATAAACAGGATGAGTTTGCACTCGTTTGGTTTGAAGTCATACCAGATTGATTCGTACGCCGCATCGCTAATCATTTTGCTCTGAAGAAAAATGTCGCAAAAATGTGTTATCAGTGAGATAAATAACTAAATCGATAAAGCTTCATCTATGCAGTATACAAAGAGAAAGTTTAGACACATTTTGACTGTACTATAGAAGTTATAACAAAATTAAATTACTAACAGAATGCGTTCTATTTAAATAATTACGAAAGTATTAAAATTAATTTATGTAATAATCACTTAAAAATTATCCCAGTAAATATCCCAGTAAGTAAATGTTGCATAACATAGATGTAAAATTATGTATATTTAAACATAACATTTATGTCTGTTGGGATTATTTAACATAACAAGCACTTTTTTAGTTTGAATATGACATGTATAATTAGTATAGATGCATTGCAACACAGTGACATTGGAGGGGAAAAGAAGATTTTATCTTTTTTTCTTTGTTTAAAAATGTGTTTTGTTTTAAATTGTTCCATGATGAAAATGCAGTGTAACATTATTTAAAATCTCCAGACACGTATAACCGAATTGCGTAAATTAATCAATGCAAATCAAATATGAGAATCTCGCTTGTGCATTCCGACCTTGGCACTGAGATACTCTCCACAAAAGCAGAAGATGAACGCCTCTACCGTAGCAGCCATGTAAAACACAATAGCTTTCATTAATGACGAACTATCAATCGTATCCGAGTCTTGCGTACTTATCGACTGCAACATAAATCGAACTACAATATAAATCGTTACCACTTTAAGACGCTGATTCTCTTTAGTTTTGATGAACAATTATATGCTTACTGTTACAATCATAAATCCTAAACAACAAATCACTAAGGAGCTTGACAAGAATTGGATTAACGCTATGTAACAAAAAATGTTTTCGATTTGGTCCGAAAAGACAATGATCTTCTGATGCTTGCCGATCAATTCCTTCATGATGGAAATAACAAAACGTTGATTGTTTTTGTCGGAAGAAATGTCTCTTAATGCATCACACAAAATTTCTATCTGACCGCTCGCATGAAGAATCTACAAAAATGCACATTCTATAAAATCACAAAAAAGAGATTTCACCATTAAAGATAACAATTAATTGTTAATTACATAGTATAAGGAAAAGTTATATATATGTTATTATATAAGACAAAATGTAACATATAATAAATATTTTGTAACTTTAGAATATTAAAATAAGAAGAAAAAAATTTATATAAACAAGTATCTGATTGTAACTTATTTTCAGACATTATAACCGTCTGTATGAGCGATACGCGCAATTATTAAATAGAAAAAATGACAGATTATGAAATTAATATGTTCAGCTCTAGGTAATTCGCTAGTAACATTTTACATGCTGACAAAGAACATCAAATTTTTTTCTTCCAATTATATATATAACATTGGATTATAGGATGCTGATATTTTTTCTACTCTTTTTAATGTTGTAGAAAAAGACTTTCTAAATACAATGTTGTTAAAAATACAAAAACATTTCACAATCACATGATATTGCCTAATTAAATAGGTATAGGTTAATGATATTTAATAAAAAACTCTTTTTTACAGATTGTACTCACTAATGTGACGATTAGAGAATTCAGTACGCCAGTCGTGGCAGAAGATGCCAATTGATGAAGAAATTCCAAACACATAACGAGCTCGTATCGAGGTGACTCGTCACTCTCAAACGGGAGCTGTAGCTTAAGCGTGAACTCACGAACAGGCTTGACTCCATCAATGTCGTAATCATTACTATGGGACACGAGCACGCCAATACCATAGGAAAATGCCGCGGCCGAATGAAGTCCGATGATCACGTTGGAGAAGTGCCGCGACAGATTTGCCTTATTCTTCATGGTATGCATTTCACTGATAGCGGCTTCCCCCCAATCTGCAGCCATCGCAGCTAGGATGTCGTAAAATATACTGCGGCAGTTTATTCTATCCGCGAGAATTAACTAAACAATTCACACTAACAATAAGATAAGAATGTAATAAGAACAGAAAGAGGATGAGTTCCAGAAAGACAGCAAGTTAAAATAATTTTTCGTGTAAATCTAGCTTCATGTAAAATCGATTGCACATTGACAATTATTTCGATAAAATAATACAATACATACTTGTATAGCCATATAAATTAACTGATTAAACTAAAGATAATTGTAAGAAGATATTGAATAAATCTACTATATCTTCTTTCTTACAAATTTTGAAAATTGAGATTTTTATCGTAGATAGAAGACATTAATCTCTAGTTTACAGAAATATTACTATACGAATTTTGACTTTCAGGATTAATTTATAGAAATAAACTCGATTTTTATCCTCGACTACATAAAAGATGTTCTCTTACCGACTATTCAACCATAAAATAATCAGTTTCAGGAACATCACGCTGTATTCCATAGTGACACTTAAACCATCCATCAGATGTGACATGTCGTCGGTTCCTAAGTGAATAATAATCCACCAGTACTGAAAAGTCTGTACTATACCGGTGGTCAATATCCAAACACCCCGAAAAAACAGTGCATATGACGCATTAGGCCAAATCCCGACAAATCGAAGACCGATTTGCACCGAAAGAGCAACAGTGCTTATAGCCGTCATTTTATCGCGTCTTGATACGTCTTTTACACCGAAATATACTAAAATCCGTTCATCAATTTATATCTATTATTATATAAACTTTAGCCAAGAATTCAATAACAACAATATCCAAAATGTAACTTAGAATATTCGTCGATTCTACTAACGTATAGCTACGGATTAAATATCTGAGTGAGTACAGGTCTAAAATGACTCTAGAACGGCAAGTTAATTACGCAAGGGTCGCCAGACGTAGAAATAATCACCGATCAATTGTAACTAATTGAGAATAAAAATGTTACGGCTGTTTATACTGAACATAGAGAGGGAATTATATAAAACTGCAACAATTGAGCGATGATTACAACGCTTACAATAATTATCTTATTCTATTGGAAAAAATATCGCCGAGGACAAATTGCTAGCCTGAATAATGTAAGAAACGATTTTCCTCTACTTTCGCGGGAGCAAGCATGGATCTAGAATAACAGTTCTTTGAAGAAATGTTAAAATATGTTAGAGAAAACGCAGATCATATACACGTAAGTGCTTTCAAATGTGCAGTAATTAGCGACGATTTTTCATGAAAAAACAGTAGTACCATATGTGAGATTTTCAATTTTTTTATTTTTATTTTAAGATATTTTTTTATAAATACGAAATTATTTATCTTAATAATAAATCAAGTAGTAAATAAAATCTTTTCTCTATAATAAATTTAATAATAAATCTGTTTGGTATTACACATGAAATTATTTTTCTTAATTGTTATAGCATTAAAATTTTCAAATATTTTTATATATTTTTATATCTTCTGCTTTATTTTTCTGTACAGTTCTACCAATACTTCTTTTAGACCCTTTATTTAACAAGAAAACGACAAATGCTAGAATATAATATTTTAAATCATAATAAAATTGTATTAAATAAAGTTTTTCCACTTAAGTGTCACAGGATTAACTAAAATATCATGATAAAGGTTTATGTACTTTTGATTTTTATACACAATCCACAATTTCTGTTATTACATTGATACAATTAATTTATAAAAAGAAAGAACTAATACCTTCTAACAGCATGTATACATAGTTCTAACAATAAGTATATATAATTTCTTCAGCATTAAAATTAATACATTGCGTATAAAACAGATATATACGATGCGGAGGCTTTCAAACTCTGAAAAATTAAATAATGCGCAAATTACGATTAAAAACAAAGCAATATAATCCTGTTGAATATTTCTAGGTGAGTTCTCACATGGGAACCATAAGGATTCATATAAGATATTCAAAATTCATATGGAAATCTACAAGGTGTATCGTAATTTGTCTAATATTCGCATATGCATATACATACTTTATAACTTTTTTATTTAATTTTAAGAAAACTTTCTTCCTATATTTTAAACCGCGAATTTTTGGATCCTGTAATTGCATTACTTATAACTTAAACAGACAATAAATGACTTATTAATTGAAGAAGTGGTGTAGCACGTAATAAAGAAGACTCAATCAAGAGATTCCAGAATCAAATCTTACTAAGGTGCATTTTTCAAAACTAATTTAAATAGTTTATTTCAGGTAAAATTACTACAAAAACCTCTTAGGAATAATAAAATATGTAAATCTTACAAGTATAAATAATTTTTTTTCTGATATTGAACTAATGTTAGCTTGAATTTAATCCATTTAAATGAATTCTAACACAGAAAACCACATAATTTCTTATAGGAATCCACATAGGCCTTAAATTTTTGGCCCAAATCCCTATGGGAAATCATATAAAATCTCATACGGACTTTTGCCATATGGACTTCCTATGTGGACTTCCTTTTTCAACCAGTTTTTTTCAACAGAGAAACAAAACATTATTAAAAAAACGATATGAATAATTAATAAAAAATATTATACATTTACATATTATTTTACATATAATATGAAATAAGTGTGAGCTACTCAAAATTGCTTTCACGCAATATTGTATATTATTCATTGTAATTTTCTTTACACTATTACTCTGTTTAAAACAATATTAAGCTTTTTTAATATTATATTTGCGTATTCAGAAATAAACTCCAATAGTTAATTTTGATTCCATAAATAGTGCCTTACAAGACAAATCGATTATCATACATGATATACAATAATTCTTAGCACTATCATAATAGAAACGACATAATATAATACTCAACATATATTGTAACATAGATGTCTGTTATTAACTTATGCATAGCTATAAAAAATCCACAACTCCGTTATTGAAATCTTACATTTGCAAATCCTTCCAGCGATAAATCCATAAATTTCCCCGCCGTAATCGTCAGTCGTCTTTGCGATCGCATGATCACAAATAGTAAAATACGGCTATCTCGAGGTTTGAGATTGTACCAAACAGATCCGTATACAGCATCGCCAATTGTTTTACTCTAAAATGCGAATGAGAGTCAAGTGCATGTAAAGTAACAATCGACATTCTCGGCACATACTCGGTGGTCCATTTTCACATTAGCAATTTTTCGGGAACTAATGCTAAATATTTGAAAAATGTTGCTTAAGTTCCAAAATATAAATATTCCAAGATTATTCCAGAATATTCCAAAACATTTACCAAATGTAAAAGCAATATTTAAGATCATTTAAATAATCGCTAAATATTCCATTCATGCATCGTTACATATTCAGAGAATTTCATATATATTTCGCAAAATTAAAATTTTACCTGAAACCCCAAGCCCCCTAATCGTTGAATAAAGTTTAAATAAAATTGTATTGTCAAAAACACATTTCATGTATTGTCACCCAATTTTGAAGCTCACTTCAGAGGCAAAATACCACGATCTTTATATTCTTCCCCATGTAATTTTTATTTTTCGAGTTAATGTATCTCCGCCACGGTCCTCTATCGGCGGAGATGTGTAATGCTCGTTTGCGAGTGATTTCCGTGATATATACGAAGGGTATTTATACAATATATTCTAAACATTCGACGTTTGCACATTCTGTGACAATTTTTTTATTGTCCGGAATATTCGTGCATTAGGAATACAAATTGAATTTTTTATGAATAATTGATATTAGCGGGAATTCATATCAATCCAATCTTTTATTAGCAGCACTAATGATCTTTTTAACATTTACAGATTTACGTGGAATAGGGAAAAACTAATAAATAATTTCAGATACTTACCTTATTACTTAGATATTCACCGGCAAAACAAAAGATAAATGCCTCTAAAGTAATAGCGATGTAAAAAAACAAGGTCTTTATTAACATACGAACGCCTTCATCTGTGCCCAACGACTGCAAATCAAGAAAAGATCGGAAAAAAAGTTCAATAAGTTTTATAAGAATCTAGAAGACTTCAGACACGGGAATAGAAAGCAGTCATTCCATCATACAACTTGTGAGAGTCGCAAAAGGCTTTATGGTATGTAAGGATAAAAGAAATCGAAGATATCCGGTTAGTCTTAAAACATTC